TTAGAACAAAAGGAAAGTGTACGGAGTATTTTAGAGGTGTACTTAATCGATCGCAAATGTCGTTTTGTGGATATATCTGTTTATCTCGATGTATTTTGCAGGAATTTTTAGCATGCGTTTTCTCGCTTCTGACGTCATTAAAAAGAGATGGATGATGCGACTCCCCAGGAGCCTTAAGGAGATGTTCAAAATGTGTCCTCCGACTTCAATATATTTAAATCCCCCACTTTTATTTATATATATATATATATATATATATATATATAAAGTTTACTCACAGGAATAAATTTTATTTTCAGAGAAATAAACTCTTTATTCCACACAGGAATAAACTTCATTTTGCAGAAATAAACTCTATATCCCGCAAATAAATTTTTAAATATTTTTTTTCTCAGTGCACTCGGCGGGAATTGATCCCCACAACTTCGTCTCGCAGTTTTCCTTTCTCACACACGCACGAATACATTCACGCGATCACACTCATGCTCTCTCGCCAAGTGCAAAGTTGGTAAGACTGAACATACGGAAAACACTTCTCAAATTTAAGACCCCACATGCAACGATGTTACAGATTCCAACACGTGCGAGCATTACATTACACCGAAACGTGGTGACGTTGAATAAGTCCCGGTAGGATCGCTGGGCATGCCAGGAGCTCGAATCCGCCCGAGAAAGTCTCGCCGATGCGAAAACATAAGTGCAAGATGCATCGCCATCGCTATGTCGGTCATGCGAACGTAACGCGAGTGCGACATCATCGTCAAGGGATACAGTCGGTCTCAGCGGTGAGGGGGAGGGAAGTAACCTTCAAACAACCCTCGACGGTCCATGACGAGGTCCAGAAGACGTAGCCGAGACGACGGAATCTCGAGTATTCTTATAGTTTAAGTAATCTTCATTTACCCATCCCAACCAACGCCTCGTCCATGAGCTCGTCATCGGTGATGCACGGCGACGCAGAGTGCGGCGAAGGCGGGATCACCCGCGGACTTGGCGCTGGACTCTTGACGATGTGCACACTAACGGAGGGACTCGCTGGTGGAAAGGCCGGCGGCGGTGGGGGCGGCGGCGGCGGTGTGTTGCGACGCACTGGCGCCGCCTGTGTCATCGCCCTCTCGGGGATAGTAGTCAGGTGCGTCAGGCTCTTCGCCACGTCCTTGGCGGTGGAGAAATCCAGCAACATCTCCGCCGCCTCTTGGGAGCTCGCAGTGCCGCCGCTGCCGCCGCCGCCGCCGCTGCTGGTCACTCCCGCGGTGTCTGCGCCTTTGCTGATGTTCGCGCCGCTGTCGGACGTCGCGACGATTCCACCGCCGCCGCCACCCAACGACGAAAAGATCGATGACGACGATGAAGAGGAAGACGAAGACGATGGAGGCCCGCATGTTGTCTGTTTCTTTTCCTCGGCGATCTTGTTGTACTTGGCCAACGCGGCGTCGGCCGGCTTGGTGCTCAGATTCAAGCTCTCGGTGACTGTGCAGCCGCTGTTCGACGGCACGGCGGTCGCACCTGAGCTCGTCAGGCTTCCCGTGTAAGCTTTGGAGGCTGACGATGCCAATTGGTCGGCGCTACTCTTACCGAGGACACCGATAACACCGGCACTCGTGTCGTCTTTACCGAGAAACTGCTGACTACTCGTCCTTCCTATCGCACCGATGTCCTTGCACGGGTCGCGAGACTCGCTGTCTAACGGTTGCATCGACAGGTTCGTCGGCACATCCGAGTCCGCGGCAGATTGCGGCGGCAACATCAAGCCGCCGGTGCTCTCGCCGCCGAGACTCAACGACATCGCGCCGGCGCTCGTGGAGATTGAGAGGTTGTCCGGTTTGGTCTGCGTATGGTCCCGTCTATTCGCTTGGCTCGGTTGCTCGTCCGCCATTGACTTGCCGGACACTGACACCGGATTGGACAAATTCGCGATCTTGCTCTGCTGCTCTTGTTGCTTCACTGTCAAGCCGTCCAGAGTCTTGGCAGGATCGGGCAGCATGGACAGCTTTTCGGAACACTTCTTATCTGCGGCGTCAACATTCGCCCGCGCAGATAACTTGGGGATTTGAAATTTTGTGTCCAATTGCTTCATCAGACCCTCCATGACGAGCTGAGGTGGCAGACTCGGCGGTAGACTCGACATGGAGGCGTGCGCAGCTAATAATTTGTACGTACGCTCGCTTTCGCTCTCCTCGCGCAGAGCCGAAGGACTGGACTTCCTGGCGTCACCGATTCCCTTGGACGCGAATACTCCCTTGTCGCCGGACTTCTGAGTACGAGGTTTGTCACGACCACGACTGAGATCAGTCGGCCCCGTACCCGAGGTCTTCGGCGAGCCGGACGACTTGGAAGACGAGCCGCTCTTGGACAGGGGATTGCTACCACCGCCACCGCCAACACCTCCGGTCGCACCCGCACCTGCACCTCCGCCTGCACCGGCGGTACCCGTGCCGGAACTCGCCGAGCCAGAGATCGACTTCATCGCCAACATCTTCTGACTCAGTAATTTCGGCGAGCACGTCGGCTTCTTGGACGCCGGGCCTGAGTTAACACCAGGTTTCAGACCGGTATGGGTCTTCGGTGAACCATTCCCAGACGTCAGAGATGACGAAGAAGAGGCTGCAGATGAGCTGGAGGACGTACTGGTCGCGCCAGCTGCCACAGACGACGAAGATGACGACGACGACGACGACGATGAGGACGAAGACGACGACAGCTTCAAGTTGCTCCCCGATTTAGAGTCTTTTGTACGTGTCTTGTTTATAGTAATCTTAATACCGTCCGAGCTGTGCTTGACCATGTATTCAGCGGGGTTCTTTGAGGAAGAGTCGATCGAAGAGTTCTTGCCGATGCAAGACTTCCCCTCGACGATCTTCCCGGACGATCCACCTACACCACGTCCTTCCTTCTGCCCCCCGCTGCCACTTCCGCTGCCGCTCCCACCGCTACCACTATTGCTACCACTACCGCCGACACTAGAGGAACTTTTCGCGCCACCGTTACCGCTATCCTCAGTACAATGCTGCGCGTTCTTTAGTTTGTCGATCACTGCGTTCAAAGAACTTTTCCGATTTCGCGCTTGTTGTTGAGCTTGCGCGGATTTCGCCGCATCAACTTGACCCGAGGGCGGAGTGCTACCACCGCTGCTGGATAAGGAAACCTGTGTTTCGCCGGCACCGCCGCCGCCGCCGCCGCCGCCGCCGCCGCCGCCGCCGCCGCCGCCGCTGGGAATAATCTCCAGTTGCTTCAGTTTCCCGCTGGATGACTTGGTCTTAGGACTCTGATGACCGGCGGACGAGCCGGACGAGCTGACAGACGATGTTTTCCTATCCTTATCGCGCCCAGACTCCTTGCTCGACGATGACGAGGAGGATTTGACCTTGGACGGAGTCGCCTGGTCGGAGGTTTTGCCGGACGGCGAGTTCGCCGCCGACTTGAGAGCGGACATGCTCGGTTTGCCGCTGCCGGCCGAGCTGCCATGCTTCGGCGACGATGTGCCGTGCTTCGGACTCGCGCTCGCCGGCACTGGCACCGGCACGGGTACGGACACAGCGACAGACACGGTTGCAGGTACCGCCACAGACATTGACATCGCCGGCACCGGCGGCACTGGCACCGGTGCGTTGTGCTTCGGGCTGCTGCTGTAGACCGGTGAGTGCTTCGGGCTCTGCACCGGCTTGCTGATGGCTGACTGTTTCAAGGTGGGACTGGACTTACCTACGAGCGCGAGTGAGCTCGGATGCGTCGGCGACGGGCTGAACTTTCTTACCGTGCCGGCGGGTGAAGTCGGCCGCGAGCTCAAGTTCGGTGGCGACTGTTCCGTCGGCTTGATGCTCACCGACACCGGCTTCAAGAGCGAGTCCTGTTGCTGCTGCTGCTGCTGCTGCTGCTGCTGCTGCGAAGGCGGCTTAGGCGGCAGCTTGTCCGGTGGTGGACCCATCGGACTGTCTTCGCGCTTGCGTTTGCGCCGCTTTTCAAGCTTGCTGCCTTTATCCTCGGTCGCGGCGGTAGTGCTTTTGCCGCTTTTGCCGCTCTTTCGCTCCCGGCGCTCTTCCGTCAGACCTTTGGACGTGGGCACCACGTTAGCTGCGGGGCCGGCTATCGGCGTGATAGTGATCGAGCTCGGTAGACTAGTTTGCGGCGACGAGGCGATGGGTATGATCTCGATACCTGGCCGCCTTTCCAAACCCATTCCCGTAAGCACGGAGTTATAGTTTGTGCTTTGATCCAGGTTACCGCATGTGATTGGGGTGATACTTACGGAAGGTGGCACCAGGCTCTTATTCTCGTCGACAAATATATTCGTCGGGCTCGCTTTTTTTTCGTCGCGCGACTTCTTCGACTTACGCTCGCGCTTCATCAACTCCTCCACGTCCTGCTGCAGCTGCTCCGCGGTGGTGTGCACCTCCATGATCTCGCCGCTCTCATTGTCGAGATCGTAATCAGAGCTCTTGTCGGTGCCGAGCATATCCGTCGTGTCAAGATTCGAAAAATCCATACCGCTAGCCAGACTCGCTGCCGAAGTGGAAGTAGGAGTGGACGTTCTGGTCTCCGTTAAGCTCTCTCTACCGCCAGTAGGTGTGCCCAGTGGCGTCGAGTCTGAACTCGAGCTCTCCAGCAAGATTTCCGCGGCTGTCGTGGCGCCAGTACCGTCGCCAGCGTCGCCTTTCCTCTTCGGGCTACGCCAGAGACCGTCCGCCGCCTTCCTTTTGCGAGTCTTCTTGTTGCGCTCGTTCGCATTCGCATTAGCCAGCGAGTTCTTCGCTTGTCCCAACAACGCGCCCAACTGCAGCGGGTTCAGCATGGCAGAGGCATTGCCTGTCGTATCGGATTGGCCGGAATACGACGGAAAACCGATACTATTTTCCGTTCCGGCATCTAAAAAAGGCTGCTGCTGCTGCTGTTGTTGTTGTTGCGATTGTTGTTGCTGTTGCTGCGGCATTTGATGTGATGACTGCTGTTGCCTGCCGCCTATGCTGCCATTGCTGTTGTTCAAGCCAGGCTCTTGTTTGATTTTCACCTCGCCGTTCGTGAAATCTGGCATACCAGCGGTGCCGTTCTGCCCAGTCTGATCTTTACCGGATCCCAGATTGATGTTGTAATTGCCGTTGCTGCTACCACCACCGACGCCGCCGATCGCGCCGGTCAGAGCGCTCATCGCTGGCAGAGTGTTACGACCCTCCCAGATCTTCAGCAGTGTTCTCATCGTCAGCGGTATGCTGAGACAACGTTGCAACACCTTACCGGCGAGATCCGACGTCTGCTCTGCGTTCGTCATACTTACGCCGTATAGCTTACATCGAAGCGCAGAGATGTCCGTCAAGTCCAATTCCGCGGTGGCCATCGTCTCTTCGAATGGGTGTTCCACGCTCACGGACACGTGTTGCCACGACAGTGCGCTTACCTCGAGTATCGTCGTGTCCGGATCCTGTCGGGCCATCGGTCTTACGCAACTCGCGATCAAGCAATTGAAGAGCGCCTGTTGCCGCAGGTATACGAGGATCTGCGGCACGTGCGCCGGATGCGTGAAAGGAATGCTGCACACAAGTACGCCCTCCATATTCTTGTTCTCTGTCATGAAGTAGCAGTGTTGCTGATCCGTTAACGTCTACGAGAGAGAACACAGTGACCCTCATAGTGAGTGCGCGAAACACGAACTGGATATTTGTTTATTTTCTAGGATTATTTGTTACTTCATTTACCACGTATAGTCCCCTATTATTGCGGCAGTCCAACTGGCCGTCGCTCGCGTGCTGTATTATCAGGCTGAGTAACGGATGAGGCGCGGAGATATCGCCGCACTCGAGCTCTGTGACTTTCTGTATCCTTTTCACCAATTCCATGCAGATCGGCATCTTTTTGCCGAGTTTCAGAACGAAACACGCAGGCAGCATGGACGAATTGGTGCTGGTTAGCGGAGCGTACGACGGTGTACTGAAATCGGAAACAACATTGACAAATTGGACTTGATTACAAGTGAACGAAAAACAGGCAAAGTTCGATCGTACCTCTTTCCGGTGGGGCTTCTATTTACAGTTATGATGCTAGACGTAGGCAGCTTGTGACCCGTCGAACCCTCCATACAAACAGTTACGGAATGGCCAATTTTTCGTTTGATAATGATATCGGGATTTAATATGTCGTAGGTACGATTCTCCAAATCGATCAAATCGTATGGAGAAACGAAGTACGTGAGTTTCATCGGGTGACCGCCTTTCCTTCTCTCTAGAATTCCTGAATAACATGTGCGACATTAACAATAATATTGTTGACTCACATTATGAGATAAATATATATATAATAAATATATATATACATAATACAGATTGTATATTTATGTATAGTAAATTATATGTGTGTGTGTGTGTATATATATATATATATACAGGGTGACTCATTTTAATCTATAATTCCGAATATCTTCTAAACTACCCGTTCTACGGGAAAATAGTTGCGACAAAAAATGTTCAGGACAGAAGGGTTCACAAACCTGTGTTAATGACCTTGACCTTGAGATGACCTTTCAAGGTTATTTGAAGGTTAAGGTCTTTTTTTTCAATAGGAACTTCTATTTTTGACCCCGGATTTGGAAAGAACAGGAAATTTTACGTTCAAAATGATATTTTAAAAATTTTTTATATGACCTTCAAAGGTCAAATAAAAGTCAAATGTCTAAAAATGGCTGTAGAGCTGTTTTTCTGAGTGATTATAATTTTTTAGGATTGACAAGCATTGGAGGAACTTTAAAAAGTAAGTGTGATACGCTATGACCTTCTTGACCTTTAAGTTAACTATGAAGGTTATTTGAAGTAAGTACTGTTTCCTTTGGGGTGCTTGATTTCCGTGAGTTCCCTTGCCTCTCACGTTTGGGGTGCTTGATTCCCGTGAGTCCTCTTGCCTCTCACTATTACAGTACTTACTACGTCCACGTCGTTGTTTCTGGGTAACGCCAAAAGTAAGAAGAATATCTCACTCCAATGAACGTGCAAGAAAGCGATTTTCACCTTGTGTGGTGGATTTCACACGAGCGATGAAAATTGCGAAGACGTGTCTTTACTCACGTTAATTTCCTGCTTTTTCAAATCCAACGTCAAAAATAGGGATTCCTATTTCAAATAATCACCTCGACCTTCAAATGACCTTTATAGTTAACTTAAAGGTCAAGAAGGTCATAGCGTATCACACTTACTTTTTAAAGTTCCTCCAACGCTTGTCAATCCTAAAAAACCATAATCACTTAGAAAAACAGCTCTACAGCCATTTTTAGACATTTGACTTTTATTTGACCTTTGAAGGTCATATAAAAAATTTTCAAAATATCATTTTGAACGTAAAATTTCCTGTTCTTTCCAAATCCGGGGTCAAAAATAGAGGTTTCTATTGAAAAAAAGACCTTGACCTTCAAATAACCTTGAAAGGTCATCTCAAGGTCAAGGTCATTAGCACAGGTTTGTGAACCCTTTTGTTCTGAACATTTTTTGTCGCAACTATTTTCCCGTAGAACGGGTAGTTTAGAAGATATTCGGAATTATAGATTAAAATGGGTCACCCTGTGTGTGTGTGTGTGTGTATATATATATATATATATGTATATGTATAAAATATGTATAAAATTATATATATATATATATATATATATATATATATATATAATACCGTAAATTATATATGTATATATATACAGAATGTTCGACAATTAAGAGGGGAAATTATTATAGAGGGTCACAAAAGTCGAATTTTTTTTGCATTAATTAATAGTACTGTATGTATAGAATATATTCCCAAAGTTTGGTTTTAAAATTCTAAATGGTCGTACAGGACCATTTCTCGCAGATACGAGCGCATGAGGCGAGGTCTGAGCGCACAATGATTCGCAACGGCTTTGTAACGAAAAACCCGTTCGAAAAAATGGAAAAAACCATTCTAAGAAAGATCTATTACAAAAGTGCTTAGTTGGGCACAAAAAATGCGAATAAAAGTTTTAATAGTATGATTTAGCGGTTAGCTCCAAAACACGTATATTCTGGCCTTAAAATCACCGAAATTACCGCCTATATTGCTGCTGGGATATTTAATGAAGACTACTTTGCTGTTTTGAAGATAATAAAAATATTCTAAATTAAAATTAGGCCTCTATGTAAGTAATATGCTGATAGTAATGACGCCGAGCGAATAAAGAGACAGGAACGCCGCAGCCTAAATTCCAGTAAAAAGACTCGAATAGTAAATAAACAACACCAACTTAAGCAAAATGACTTGTTTGAAGAAGCGGAAGCTTTACTGTATGGGGCAAGAATAGTGGATTAGCAGAAAACAGCTGTAAGTTTACAATTTTCTATACCTGAAACTTTAAACGCATTTTTCTCGAAACGACTTCTTCCAAACTAGTGTGCAAGATAATTAAAAAACTATTTGATCAATCAAGTTGTTCTTTTATATACGTTTAGTTTATTATATTTGCTAGTCGATAAACCTATAAAACCTATAACATTATTTAAACAATTTTTTGCACATATAAAGATGGATTTTTATGAGTAAAAATCGAACTTTTGATTCAAGGGCTGCTTTTTTGTCAATTATAAAATTTCTTTTCAACTTGTTTAGGTTTATCGACAAATTATGTCCATAAAGAGTAAAAAATTTTTCCCTATTTTAGTTTCAGACGAATACAACAGGAGCCAGAGTGCATTCCGTTTTGTGCTGACTCTGCCGCGACGCTCAACATTTCTTTCACTACATACAATTTATAAACATTTTTGTTTAACTTAAAAATATTTTTCTAATACTTCAATGTACACAAGTAAAAACATTACAAAATTGGGAAGCGGTTGGATAAGTACATTCACGAAAATTCCCTTATTTTTGAGATTCTATAGTGATCTCTTAATGACACATTTGTTGTACGTAGAATTCATTAAACTAAACACAAAATTCCTCCACTCACTTAAAAGTTTGAATTATTAATTAAGGAAGACTGGTGCATTATTGCACACAATCATGCACTAATTTTTTTAATCAATAATATATATATATATATATATATATATATATATATATATATATATATATATATATATATATATCTATATCTATATGAGTAATAAATCACTAACCGACAGGACTCTTGTGCACCAGATTGAATGGCTCCTTCATGAAGGTTTGCAGTTGCGCCAAAACACCCAAGTCAGCTTCCAGAGATTGCAGAGCACTGAACGCTTTGCACTTTACTTTCTTATCAGCATTCAATTGATATATAGATACCAATCCTTCCAGCTGAGTGGTGAAATCAACAAAGTCGCCGCGCGACAGGCATGAAGCTAACACCTCACAACTCTGTAAGTAATTTTTATCGTGTCAGTATGCAAAGTGTTACTTAGCTAAGAGATTAACAGCATTTATTGTATCCACCTGCTGCTCGCTCTTTCCCTCATGATGGATCTTAACTTCTCTGACGTGCCCTGATGGCTCCAACAAAACTTCCAAAAAGAACATATCGGAGGATATGAATATTTCTGTGCCTGAAGGACCAGGCATAAATTTTAACCTGCGTAATAAAAAATAATATATAAACTTCATTTACTTCCATAAAAATCTGTGAAATTAAGCAATAAAAGAATGAGTACACATGAGTAGTGAATGAAAACAGAATTTGTAGTTATAAAAAGTAAAAAAATTACACATAATATGCAAGTCATTGATACATATAGACAAATATTTGCTTACCCTAGCTGCCTTGTTAAGCTCTCCAGTCGTTCCACCATAGATTGGAATGAAGTAACCTTGATAGAATGCTGCAGAGTGTCCAAACACTTCTGCAGCTGATTCTTCTCTACACTGTCAATCGTATACCGTTTATCCTGTTTATCAAAGCGTGTTTATTATGATGCTCACTATATATTTACCAAAGTGTCATTTAAACTCAAAGTCACACAAAACGTGTAGTAAAATCTCTCTCACTTACTAGCATGGTCATACGCATGTTCTTGGCAGTTTCCACCAGAGGCTTCAATGTGGAAGATTTGGAACGTAACTTCTCCATCAACAGCTCCATTTGCCACTCCTTCCCCTTGTCGGAGGTGACTCCCGTACTGGTGGAAGGTTGCCCCACTGCAAATTATACGATTTTCAATATCATTTGATCGTAAATTATCATTTCTCTCGCGAGACATATAGAATTACAATAACTTTCCACTGTTCGACAAATGGTTTTACAATCCGCGTGATTATTTTGTCGAGGTTCATAGGAAAGTGTGTCGAAAATCTTTCTCACCGTGGGGCTTCTGTCCGTTCGTCGCATCCATGTGCCGCTCTGTGGTACACACGGCTGTCCACGGATGGGTCGGTCGTGTTCCTGCCCCTCGTTATCGCAAACGCATTGTTCACTTAATTATCATGTCGCCCGCTAACAAACGCGAACACAGGACGCGTCCAAAACGCGTACTGAGTGGTAAAACTTCACCTCGCTGGTTCCTATCTTCGCTTCCTTCGCAACTGATCTTACTGTTCGTGAATTCCTTTTCCTAACCTAACCTACCCTACTTTACATCGCGCGCTTGTTTACTGCGCGTGCTGTCAGATGGCGCGATTTTCTTTTTACTTTTTTTTTTCAAACTTCGATCTATCGATAAAGAAGGGAGACACGTGACCGTGCATTCATAAGACAGATTTAGGTGCGAAATTTCAAATCGAAACAGTACCATCTCTGCAACGAAAGAATTCAATTTATGTAATAAATCGGGGAATCGTTGGATCACTAAAATGTTTGAAACAAAATTTGAGATTTCTATAACTGAAAACTGGAGAAACAAGCATTGTTTCTCTTTCTCTCATATATATGATTTTACAAGTATAACTTTATAATGCAGAAAGAGAATAACAATCGCAATATTCTTAAAAATAACACGCTATAATAGTTTGTGGTTTACATTTTCATTACGTACAAAATCTTTATTCTACATAATAAAATTGTGTAAAAAAATAATTTCGATATATATATATATATATAATACGTCATTTTATATACACTTATCTAATCGCAAAAGCGTAATTTATTTCGTCGGAAGTAGACATAATACCGGACTTCGTTAGTTTCACCACACAAGTGTCGGACGGCGCATATCACACGCTGACATCGCGTTCACTCATGCCACTCGCGAGAGTAAACGCGGTGCAGCTTAAAGTCATGGATAAAATGTTTTGTGAGTGCCTTATTAACGAGTGACATAATATTACTGCAGTCTTTGTACTGTGGCGTGTAGTTTCTGTCGTATAAAATCGTTTCTTTTACTTACATCTAGATTTGTGAATGTCTATTTATATGCGTGTGTGTGTGTGTGTATGTGTGAAAGCGTATAGTGACATCTTCGATAAAAAGATGTGCATCTTGAAATAAGATTCAATACCATGACGTGACGGATAAAATTAATTTCGTTATGTCACGAGCTTGTAACAAGAGAAAAATTCCCATAATATAAATATGAAATATGTTTGAGCAAGACAACAATGAGCCGCCGTTCAATTCACAACCATTGGTTCAATTCACAAATCTTTCCCCATAAAGATACATCTCTCATTAAAATAAATGATATTTTTAAAAATGAATATTCCTATTCACACACAGAATGCTACGTTCGTGACAACATTTATTTAGCGTTTATGGGAAGAGATTTTCGAATTAAGCTTATAAAACACAAGAGTACCAGATACGAGAATCACGAAGTCTCGTTCGCTTTGAAATTTTTGGTATTCTTTAGAAATGAGCCAATATTCAAAGCACGAGACGCGTGGCGTGTATCAAGAGAAAATCGTTCACTACAAGTTCTTAGTGCTCGGATGGAAAGAGATGCGCTTATTCCAGAGTTTCGGCGGCGAGAGAACTTGCTCGAGAAATATATGTCTCTTCTCCTTGAGGCTGAAACGCACATTGCACAGGGACTTGTCGGCTTTGTCGTCGCGTTCTATAGTCCAGGCGCGCCTGTCATCGTCGTTGTTGTTGCACTTCCTACTCTTGTACGATGAAATCGGCGCCAGGTTCTCCTTATCGAACAGCTCCAGCGATTCCTTCGACGTCGCGGGCAGATTCCTCTTGGCGGATATCTCCAGATCGCCGGAAGTCTTCGAATCGACGAGCTTTGAAGCGCACGAGTTCTCGCCGTTTTCGACAGACACCAACGGACTCATTTCCACGTACAGATCGCTCTCATTCGCGTCGAAGTCACCCTTGCAGTCCGCGAATGTCACCTGCCGTACGAGCTTACCTCTGCTGCCTAAGATCGGCGAGTCCGATAGAATGGCTTCTATCAGCGGCGTTTTCTTGATAGACTCGATCGCACAGCACTTTACGAATTCTCTAATTGCTTCAATCTCGCGCTTGTCGACGGCGCGCGAGTCATTGCACGGCGACAGCTCGCAAACCGGACCGGGCATCGTGCCGGTCTTCAGGTCGTTATCGAAGAGCACTTTGGCGAAGCGTGCCCGCGCCATTAGATTTTTCGGATTCAGATCCTCCCACTGTGTCCCCGTGGTGTGATAGACGTGTCGCGGCGAATTTTCCGCTGTGTATCGCCTGATCTGATCGATCGTGCTCACCAGAGTACTCGCAGAGTCGCGTGTAGCCTCTTGGACGCGCTGGAACTTACCTTCCTCCGACGACACCGAGTCGTCACGTTCCTCCATTATCGTGTCCAATGCGAGCATGCCACCCCTGTCGTCTATCACCACCGGCTTGGCGATATATAACGTGGCGGCGTTCTGGTCCTCGATGGTGGTGCTCGTGAACACGTCATTATCACCGCGATCGTACAGCGACTTACTGTCTTTAGACTCTGCAAAATCGTATACCAACGTGTCCGCGTAGTCATCTTGTTTCAGGATCCCGCGCGAGATCAATGAACCTGCGCCGCACACGCCATCCGAGTACTCGGAACTGTAGGTCGTACCGGTGGTGCTAGTAAGTGTATCCCGACGCCGATCGCGCACCACGCTGTCGTCGTGGATGTACGTTTCGATGTCGGTATAGCCTTTCCAGCTGCGAATGCACCACGGCGGTCGGGCGATCCCCAGCGGACACACGTTCTCGTAATCGTGGATCGACGTCACGCAGCTCATCGTCTCGTCCCGTTGCTGCTCCCGTTGCAGATCTTTGGATACCTTCTCTATGTCGAATATCCTGCCGCCCTCCAGCTGCGTCGGGGTTGTCAGTCTGCTCCGGTTTTTTATCGCGTCCAGCGCGCCGATTACTTTACTGCAGGAATCCAATGTGAGGGAGTTGTTTCGCTCGCCCTCGTCGAGATTCAAGTCAATGCTCGAGATGTCCGGGGACAACCAATCCAATTGCGTCGCGATGCCATGTTCATAGATGCCGCGACGTTTTCGCGACGATAAGTACACGTCTACGTCGACATCCATATCTACGTCTACCTCAGATAGAATCTTCTTTTCCGTGTCCAGGCCGTGTGTGATGGGCAAGCAGATGCCCCTGCGTTTTTGACGATGATGAGCCTCCGCATCATCGATGTCGGGCAAGCCCTGGTACAAAGTGCTCAACGTCGCGCTCACCGAGAGCGTATTGTCCGCGTTGTCTTTCGGCGTCGTCGTTTCTTCTTTGTGCGCACGACTGTGCGGCTTTTCGCACTCGGTGGAGACACGCACGGATTCGTTTTCGGTATTGTAGTTGCAGTTGACGATGCCTTCCTCCAAGCAATCGGAGATCTGCGCGACGTTCGTCAGCAGGGACTGCTTGTCGGTGGCCACCTCCTCAGAGATGGTGACTCTCGGCGAGATGTCGATGGAATGATGCAACGACACCAAGGAGCCGCGGTGGAACAGTTTGAAGGACCTGGGTGTGTCGACCTTGACGGTAGCAAGATGCTCGTCGATGTCCCGACGGACGTCCCTCGTTAACGTCAACCTCGACGGATGGAACTTGCCGTAATACAACAGCATGCTGGTCAAACCGACGAGCATTCCGCCGACTATCGCGCTCGTGATCGCGATCATCGTGTCGACCGCGATCGCGTCCACGAAGCGCAACGCGTACATCACCAGGAAGACCAAATTCTGTACCGCGATTACCGTGTAGAACACCAACACGCGGTAACGCGACCTACCGTCGCGCAGGTTGAAGAAGTCGAAGCAGTAGATGAGTCCTATGATACAGTTGTAAATACGCTCTTCCCACACGGTCGGACAGAACTCGGTGTTCTGCAAGATCACCCAGATTGTCATAAACAACCAGTGCAGACCTGGAAGATGAAGAAAAATGCACGGCTAAGCATAGGTTAAGCACAGATGGCATACGGAAAAATTTAAACAGTAAGCAAATTGCATTAATCAAATACAGTCGATGATTTTTTTACGGCTCAAGAATAATCAATTGTGATTGATCAATTTTCATATTGTTTACGTCCTTCTATGTCATCCGCTTCGCGCAACATGAAGAAGAGTCGATCGTAACTCAATGAGTTACGATCCCACGAACTATAATTAGCAAATGGCAGTTCGCTAGCTTTCACGTCAACGAAAGAGACTTCGTTTCTATCAACTCATGGAACACCAATATCTAATTCGTTGTACATAAATTGTATCGCATATAATATTCCAATAATATGCAAGCTTTTCTATGCTCAATTAATAAACTGTTAGATTGTTAATTGTTCAACGTTTCCAATATCGATCCGTGATTTCATAAATGATAATTCACTTGAAAACTTTCCAGTGTTTAATTAATAAACGCGATTGAATTATTAACTGTTTAATATCCTAATATCGATTTGAAGTACATAGAGAACAAAAGCAATTGTGAGTTGCGAGCTCTTCGTGGCTCAGATTCGCGATGTCCGCATTCTAGCTAAAACAAGCGGAACGCTATTCCCGTCGGTACAACTCACCCAGAAATAATAAGAACCACGCTCTCAGGAAAACTGCAGCCAGCACCAAAACTCCGATTCTCGATAGCAGCATGCCGCTGCGCCACAAAGCCTGAAGAGCGAGCGCTACCCAGGTCGCGTTGTTACGCTCGCGATTGATATTGTGCATGGCTCTCACGTATGTACTCACGGCCCACGTCAAGGAGCAAAAAGAAGCTATAGCGGATGCACCTGTGGAACAATATTGTTAATTAAGTAAACAGTTCTTTAATTACAAAGTAATTTGTCCCTCGATTATAAAGTACAGAATTGGAGAAACTATTTTTTCAAAGTTACTCATTTTAAAAGATAGATTTACTGATAACATTACTTCCTCAACTGATACAATCCTGACATCAAGGTAAGAACCATTCACGGCGCTGTTAAAAAAAAACTAAGATGATGCAGATTACTCGAGAAGAACACGAGGAAACGAAAATGAGACTGCCGTGGCAATTACATCTTTCTTTTTCGTGGTGAGCGAATTCGCTTTCTTTCCAGTTATTTTTGAGTACGCCGAGACTTCGTTTCTCGCGTCACTTTATATTTAAAGCTGTAAGAGACAACGGCGTGCTCTCATTGTGGCCGGACGACCGTCGCAGGACATTGGTCGCGCTTCAAAGGGAAGACAGATAAACACTGTCAGCGATATTCCATCCGGCTTATTGTTATCTCGAGGGCGGTACAGAGGAAACGAAAAAATACACAGCATCGGTATGTTAGCGCGGATTCCACAGACGTGCTCGAGCTCGACGTCGATACAGTGATGAGGACGGCTCGGTAGTGTAAGTTATTCAAGCGGACAAGCCAAATATTCGTCCAGTAAGTGAGATAATGTTGCATACGTTGTATAAAAAGCCAATGACGGACGCAGAAACGGCGAGGGATGACGAGAAGTTGACGACTTATCTGCGATTGTCGAGGGTCGGAGTTAATCATTTCGTGAAGAGGCTCTTCTCATTGATGCAGGTATGCGTATCAATAATAAAGAAAAGAAAGAAATCAAATCTCAATGAATGTACGGACAAGTTGAAAAAGAAAATGACGTTTGGTTGATTCGCAGAGACAAATCAGGGTGTTGCAGTTTGTCGCATTGTTAACGATAATCTGCGTTACATTGTTGATACTGGCGCAGAACTCGACGAAAAGCTCGCATACGGAGACAAACATAGAGCCGATTACGCGAGGAGAACAGATATCGCCGAAGTATGCGTCCGTTGCACGTGCCGAGTCTGAAATAATCCCGCGAGTAATAATGTCGCGGGATGAGATGGAGGATGTTCGAAGAGAGTTAAACGCTAGGAAGCGGCGACTATTGAGCGTCTGCGAGACTATCCATTCGAAAAGATCCTACTTGGATGCCGCGTTGACAAACATGATTATTGACACGTGAGTGAATCTAAAAAAAGAACAAGATAGAAAGAATATCAAAATATTTAAATAAAAAACGTCTCTCTTGCTCTTTGATTCTTCTCTGATTATACTTTCCGTTTTATTGATTAAATTGTCTCTCTTAATTAACACATTGAAAATGGAGGTAAAATTCCCCTTTAGGGGAAGCCTTGATCTTGACATATGTTATAAAGGTCAATCTCCTGAGTAACCTCCAGAAGGTTTCAGTCGTCGCTCATTGTTTGTTAAAAAGTTATTGAAAAAAATTTTATAAACGGAACGTAATTTTGGTATACAATATACATTGAAATATGGTAAACGGTACACGTATATGCGTATATTATGCCCCGCGACCTCATACTCCGCGGCTATATGGCGGTCGTTTATAGTTTCCGAGATATTAATAAAAAAGGTGCCTGTTCCTAGCCGTGTTATTGGGGGGCTACGCCCCCAGACCCCCCGCACCGCAGTGGGAGAGGGGGCCAAGTCTGTTGTACTTAAGCTAAAGAGTAAGAATTTCTCACAAAAGACTGGGCCTCCGCCGCGGTGCGAGTGTCTGGGGGGCTACGTCCCCCAGTTACACGGCAGGTACCTTCTTAGCCTACAAATTCAATGTTTTTATATATATGGTATCCAAAAATTACATTCATTTTATGCAACTTCTTTTGTTAATAACTTTCTAACGAACAACGAGCGACGGCTAAAATTTGCTGAAAGTTATTCAGAAGGGTGTCCTCTATAACATATGTTAAGGTCAAGGCCATTGAAACTGCCTTCCCTAAAGAGGAGTTTTACCAAAATGGATAATATTAATTTGAGATAAGAGCTGAGATCACGAAAAATCAAAGCGTGAGACCTTTGTCAAATGAAGAGGAAATGAAACTGGAGATTGAATTTCAAAGTTTTTTCCGAAGGGAACACAATGTGTCATGGTGTCCTATATACAAGGTGGCGAGTTCCACATGGATGAGTTACTTCGCCGTATTGAAGGGTATTCTGACAGATACTGTGATGGATCTGGTGCGACACAATCTCCTTCAACTCAGCGAAATCGTGAGACAAAAGTTCATACACGACGAAGATCTCAATACAATGCACGTGGTGAGCTCTAATGAGAAGACCAATTCCAGTGATGCCATTTAATTTCCACCGCGGCTCTACCAATTTTGATAATTACATTTTTTCCTGGTAAAAACCTTTTCAAAATTAACGCCATTAATATGAAAATTTCCCGATAAAATGTCGAAATATTTTTATCTAACTTACGTTAAAGAATTAACGTTGAGCGACATTGGGAGGTGATGAATCGAATGATCATTTGGAAAATTTATGTTCGATTGCAGAAGGTAATGAAGACAAAGAAGTTCCTAATCGTACGACATCCGCTGGAGCGTCTTTTGTCTGCCTATAGAGACAAGTTGGAGCACATGAAGGGCCGCGAATATTACTACAAGCGGTTCGGTCGGCGTATCGCGTTTAAGTATCGTCTGCCTGGCAACGAGACAAAATTAGAACCGACGTTTGAGGAATTTCTTCGATTTATAGTGAATGAGAAGTTCTTTGACGAACACTGGACGCCGTATTACCAGACTTGCGAGCCCTGTGCTGTGCGCTACGACTACATACTGAAATTCGAGACTTTGGATCGAGATGAGAATTTTTTCATACAAGACGCTAATCTGAGCGAACATCTGTATGAGAAGAATTATGTACGAAACATGAATCCTTACGGGACAACCACTAGAGAAATTCTCAGCGAATATATCAAGAAGATACCGCGATCGCTTCTTGAAGAGATTTACAAGATCTACGAAAACGATTACAAGTTATTCGACTATTCGTTTGTTTGATGACTGTTTCATTTATATTATATATAGGCAGCTCACAATTATTATGTTATTGAAAAACGAATAAATATGATATGTATATAAAACTGTAAAAAAAATTTTTTTTCTTTCTTGAATATTATAATAAATTATAACTCTTGTAGTTACACTATATTAAATTCTTTATGTATAAAATAAGTATATTTTTAAAGCTTAAGGATAAAAAAGAAAAGAAATAATTGCACAAAGATGTAAAAAATAGAAATAGAATTCAAATAGGAATAAATCTGTATATAATATATAATGTAGAATAAAATAAAAATGATATATATGAGTATTAAAATAATTAAAGGAAACACTCACTTGTCCAAAGTGGAGCATGATGTAATATTGCAATTATGTACAATTGTAAGATCAACTGTGGTGCAGCTCCAACGAATGATTCAAATAAATGCAACATACATATGTCACTTTCTTGCCGGTATACCCAATTCTTGTCCTTGCTAAAGCTTGACTTATTTCTTAGAGAATGTACCGCAGTATAAAACAGAGTCAAATACCTGGACAGAATGTAAAATAACAAACACTTATATTAATTTACACAGCAATTTAGGAGAAGTTTGCAAAAAGATAAATACCTGTGCAAAAAGCCCAGAAGTAAGAAGTGCAATAACCAGTGAACAGTCTTCAAGGAGCCATCGCTACGATGCCATCTCAAACTAAATAGTTGAGTAACACAAGCGGGTAAGATGGTGAAACCCATTGCAAAGCATCCCCACTCTAAGTGGCCTTGCAAAAGGTATTCCACAAATACAATGCTGTCTGTGTGCGAAAAATATTTTACAGAGTGCTTGATCTATATACGACAGTAAAAGCTTCCTGATAATACAAATTTTTAAGATGGCATGTGTCAACAAAATAAAGGCAAATTTTACAACATATAAAAGAGTATTTTGAATAACTTTCACAAAAGAGAATGTAAAGAGGAAGAATAAATAAATGTCTTTAGCTATAGGACTATACATGGTGTCTCACAACGTGTTTCGCGTCATTAACGACAAATTCTGTAATTTATTTGTAATCAAGTTTCCTTTTAGGAAGACTGTTAAAAAAGATATCATTATTAATTATAAATTTTTAATTTGCAACATTATACAAGTCTATCACAGCAAAGTTTCCCCGAAGATTGTCGAAAAGTGCGGTCATAAAAAGGAATATTTTTTCGTTATCAATTTAGTATCAGGCTTAATTTGCCAACAATGTTTCCATTCCTCACAACCGGAAAATTATCGATACTGCGACGATTCACCGACGAGCCGTCGTTGAACTGTCATCAAATCTGTCATTAAATCTGTCATCAGAGTCAAACTCGTGAGTTGTGTGACACCCTGTATATGTATACGCGCGTATACATGTGTACTCTTTGTTCACCTGTTGCTACGTCCGCGAAAAAGAAACTGACCGAAAACGCGTAGTACAGCAGATCCGTCATGCGAAATTGATACCGCTCGATTTGCCGGCGCGGGATCGCCACGGCCGGCTCGTCGCCCGTTGCATTTTCAGCGCACGAAACGTCGATGCATTTTGTCTCGTTTGACTCTGCCGCCGCCATCTTCCCGCATCTTCGCCGGCGTTCCCGACCATTCGCAATTGGTACTTGAATTTACTCGAAGCGCTTGCGCTAGGATGGCCAACCTGAGGTTAGGCAACAATTTCCCGAAAAGTGGAAGGATAATGTTGGTATCAAGGAAAATCTCTACACGATATAATTTAAAGGTCTGTTCTTTATAACTGCACACTGCTGAACTAGTGCAAAAAGTTAGAGTGAGAAAATATATACTTATCTCACTTCAATTTATTGCAATTTAGTTTAGCAATGCAGGACATCTGAGAGTCAATTCTGTATCTCGAAACGAAGTGAAAATTACAAAAGTGAGCACATTTACTAGGCACTAACCAATGAAATTACGAATATTCTAGTATATTTGCTCACTTTTGTAATTTTCACTTTGTTTCGAGATACAGAATCGACTCCCTGGGCTACGTTCCAAAACTCTACTCAATGGGTAGAGTACATTTAATTGTCCAATCATGATAAAGAGATCCTAGTTATCTTCGCTCTTATTGGTCAATTAAATGCTATTCTACTCGTCGAGTAGAGTTTTGGAACGCAGTCCTGGGTAGCAATCATGAATCTTTTCCCCTAGTGCGAACTCGTGAAAAGTGAAAATTTTGTAATGAACTCGTAAAAGATGAAAACCTTCACTAAACTCACGAAAAATGAAAGATTTAACATGAATTTGTAAGTAAAACAAATATTACAATATACTCAAGACAATGCCAATTTGCAATGGACATCTTTAGAATTTTTTCATGTTTTTAAGACATAGTGATGTCTTTAGAACGTCCCTTGGAAGTCTACTTGTCTAGAATTACTTTAGGATAAATTATTAAAAGATAAAATATTCTATTCATATTAAAATTATAAATCTGCAGAAAATATATATTTTATATAAAATAATACATAAAATACATGCAATAAATACATAAAATAAACTTACATTTTATTTACTGCATACAATTTATAATATATTACACTTTAACTTTCTGATGCATACGTATCTTAACTTTGCAAACTTCGTCGGTATGCTTTCACTGCCTATACGTCATCACGCTTCAATTAGCTTTCGTTGGTCATTTTTAATGGACGTAGGATTCTTATGTCAAATGCCAATTGTCATATAACCATAAAAATTAAAGTCACTATAAGAAATTTTACTTACTTTGTACATAATATACGAGTGTAGTATTACATTATTTTTCACATTTAAACCACATCGCTTGATGCTTAAAAATATTCGTGGAAACTTACATAATTTACATGTAAAGAAGAACATATACGAGCAAATTAAAAGTTCACGTGAAATATTTCACGTTTTGAGAATTCACCTTTCACGGTTAACGTCTCATTTATTAAATTTACTCATATTGTATTATTATACTCATATTATATTATAACTATAAATTTAAGTTGTATAATGCTTATTAATATGTTATATATTACATTATGTATACTGTAATTACATTTTAATTTTAATAATCTATATTACATAAATATTGCTTTCACCATTTTCATTGTTCACTTTTCATGTAAAATAAATTTCACTTACAGTGAAAAGTGAAAAATGAAAATGATGTTTACGTGAAAGATTCATGATCGCTACCCTGGGCCCTTATTCTTGAAATAGTTGCGTATATGTAAGTTTTACTGCGCAGCTTTTCTACGGTATACAAAAGATGCTCAACGATAACGAAACTGTCGTTAACTCCAATAACGAGTTATAGAATCCCAGTGTTGGGCCCCTATTTTTGAAATTTTTGCGTATATACGTAATTTTCATTGCGCAGCTTTTATAGTATGATTAAACCTGCGCAGTAAAACTGAGGGTGTTATTATATGAAGCGCAGAAACGCGGAAGACAAAATCTTACTTGATTTCCGCGTTCCGTGAATTGAATCATTTCTTCCCGTACGTTGAAAAAGCAGAAAAGCGGAAGGTCCAAAACTTTTCTCTATTATCTTTTCATCCAAGATACCAAGGTATGAATTCCAAAAAAAATATCAGGTACGAACGTGTTTGAACACGTCTTATGGCTCCTGCACACAGAA